GGACTGTCAAGCTTTATAAAAGAGGAATTTCCTCTAACGTGTCAAACGTCTTCAATTGTCTTCTTAAATCACAACTGATAGAAATCTTCACAAAATGTACTATATTACCCATTATACTACAATATATTACACATTATCTTACTTTTAAATGGTAATAAACACTCACTGTATAGAAGTAAAATTTTAGTTTGATTTTTATTTCCTTCAGTTAGTGTCAGGAAATCTTCATTGCTATTCTTAGGCTAACTCAAATAGTTCTTTCCTTACCACTTTCATTATGCTGAATAATGGATAACCAAAGACAAAAACTTGTAAAGCAAACCTGTTAAAAAGAATTAATGTAGTCTTGGTAATATTAGTGGAATGAAGCACATGGATTTGGAGGAAGGATACAGTCAGTGTTGAACATTTAGGAAAATGAAATGATTCATTTACTGATTTTTTTTCAGATTTGCTTATTTATGCTTACAGAACTGGGGTACAGGCCAGAGATATGGGGGCAGGGGAGGAGAGGGTTCACCAGAGACAGTGTAGGGAACAGAACAGGCAGATCAACTGAAATACACTGCCTTGGGGAGCAGAGGGTAGTGAGGAGAGGTCTGCCGTCATGTGTATAACCTCCAAGGCCTGGGATAGAACTCGTACTGAAGTGGCTGCCTCTAGCTTGCATCCTAACCCGCTGTGCCACTTGGGAGGGCCAGTCATAAATTTTAAGCTAACAGTTGGATGTAAATTTATAAGCACATTTCATTCCTCTCCTGTTTTTCAAAGCTATAGATGTTTCAATGAATATTTCATCGTTGCCCTTTTCTAGACCGATTATTATTGCTATCTATCATAGTAAAGACTTGGTTTGCATATACTGTCTCTCTTAAAAAAAAAAAAAAAAGCAGAGCGCTATCAAAATTAACAAATTTTCTTCATCTCTTCCATTTAAACAAATTCAGTCTTTTTAAAAAGCTCTATTTATTAGGAAATTCCTACTTAAAATAGCTGCATTCCAAAAATCGTATTCTGTTTCAGTAATGATTAAAGAAAATATCAACTTGGTCATTTCCAATTTAATCATATCAATTAATCTAATAAACACATGGACAAATGTCATCATCTCATCTAGTAAAAGAGGTGCAAGTTAAAAACCATTATCTCACACATGTGAGAATGGAACATATCAATATACACTGGAAAGAATGCAAAGAACGAACTCCAATATTCTGTTGGTGGGAATGCACACTGGTAGAGGCATCTCAGAAAGTAATCTGTATTTACCTTAAAAAACTAAACAAATTTAGTGAGATAAGCCAGAAAGAGAAAGAAAAATACTGGATGGTTTCGCTCATAGCAGGAGTATAATGGACCAGGCGAGAAAATAATAAGAAAAATGAACAGCCATATAACAGAGACATTTTGTGGGGAATGGGATCAAAAACGGGGGTGGGGGAAGGAAGTACACGGGACTATGGTGATGGCACATGGGTGACTTGGTGATGGGAAACCCATGGGGACTACAATTGAGATGAAAAAAAAATGTACAAAATGATTTAAAAATGAACTGTTAAAAAAAAAAAACTAAACTGTTCCAACGAACAGGAAACTATCAACTCAAAAAACTTATGCAACAACATTTATTGTAGCACTGTTTACAATAATTAGAACATGGAAGCAGCCTAAATGTCCAACAGAATACTAGATCAAGAAAATGTGGTATAACTACACTAAAGGAATACTATTCAACCACAAAGAAAGGTAAAAAGTGGCCACTGACAACAAAATGAAAGGAGTTTAAAGGGAATTATGTGTAAAATAAATCAAAATGACAAAGACAAATACTTGAAATTTACACAGCAGACAAGTCAACTAAGTAAAATTCTTACAAAACTATTGAACATTATTAAGCAACATTTCTGGGATTAAGAGAAGAAGGAAGGAGAAAAGGGCTAAGGGCATCCAAAATCCCTGCACCACACCATGCAAGACACCCATTCACCAAAACTCAAAACTGGGATCAAGGTCATATGTAATCCATTCCACTGTTTAGCTTGCTAAAAGAATGCCCACAAACTAGGTTTGATGACATTTCCATCTCTCACTTTTCAAATTTAGCTGGGTATCTTTTTTCTCTCTTTTTTCTTTTGTCTTCTCATATCATTCCCCCACCAAACCGTCCTAAACGTTCATAAAACAGAAGATATGTCATTAAATTTTCAATATGTATCTTTTTAGTAATCTGTGTAACTAATGGGGAAATATACATACAGTACTTGCCTGCATACAAAAGAACACTACTTGAGGACAAGTATTTGTATGACTGAATTGCAAGATAAGAAGCTGGAACTTTTCTGATTCAAGGAATACCTCTTCTTTAATTTTTTTTTTATTGTAATAGTTTTTATTTTGTGCCTTCTTCCATCTCAGATGTAATCCCCATGGACTTTCCATCACCAATTCACCCATGCACTCCCTCTACCCCATTTTTGATGCCAGTCCCCACTCCATCCCTGTAAAATGTCTCTGGTATATAGTTGTTCATTATTATTAATTTTCCACCCCCGGTCTGTTATGCTCCTAATATGAGTAAAAACATCTGATATTTTTCTTTTATTTCTGGTTTATTTCACTAATTATGATATTTTCCAGCTCCATCCATGTTGCTGCAAAAGGCATGCGTTTACCTTCTTTGACTGCTGAGTAATACTCCTTTGTGTGTATGTATGACATCTTTTTAATCCAGTCATCTACTTTTGGGCATTTGGGTTGTTTCCATGTCTTTCCAATTGTAAATAAAGCAGCAATAAACATGGGGATGCAGGTGTCTTTTTGAATCAGTGTTTTTGTGTCTTTTGGGTAGATACCTAGGAGTGGGATTACTGGGTCAAATGGAAGCTCTTTTTTTATCAGTTTGAGAAACCTCCAAACAGTTTTTCATAGTGGTTGTACTAGTTTGCATTCCCAGGAGTTTGCAGGAGATTTCTCAAGGAATACCTCTTTTATGTGGAAAAAAAAAAAAAACAGGAAAGATATGGATTTTCAGATTTGGTTATTTGACAGACATTTTCTCAAAGACAAGCTAAGTGAATATGTCATATTTCAAGGAACTTTGTTACCTACAATAAAATTTAGGTTTCAGGAAAAATTCAAATTTTATAAAATATATCTGCCACATGACCTTGCTGGTTTCCTACTACTTATAGCTCATGTTCTAATTTATATGACCATTTACAAACAAGCAAGGTTAAATAATGATAGCCTAATTTAAATAACAATTTAAATCCATACTATATTTTGAAATGTACCAGACTGAATAAACTGTCTGAAAAACTGTAAAGTCAAAACTGCCTACATTCCAATTGTGGGGAAAAAAGAGAAATATACTTAGGTGATGAATAAAAAGAAAGCTCTATTAAACAATAAAATCTGAGTTGTGACTAGAAAAATAGATAGGATTTAAACTGGTCATAATGAGTGTCCTAGAAAGTCTGTTGGCTGGCTGACTGATCTAACTGACTAGATGGGTAGATTGCTAGTAGGAAGACAGATAAAAAAGAAAACAAAATTTTAAAGAGAACATTAAATTCCTATTATGAATGTATTCATTCAAACTGCCAACTGATATTTTAAGATCCCGAAGATCATGGATGGCAAGGATCACATATTACAATTCATTATCTGCTAGAGGAACTATCTCATCGACAAATTTAATGTGCTGAACTATTAGTTTGGAAAAAATAAGATTTATATAAGGAGGAAGCAGAACAATACAAATCTAAGTTTAAATCTTAGCACTGGAACTTTGCTAGATTGCCTTGAACAAGTGAATTACCCTTGCTAGTTCAAACTCAAATACATCAAATTTGAGGACGACCCTAAAACTATCTGAACTACAAAGTACCACAGATAACTAATAATCAGAGAGGAAATAAGAATGTGTGGCTGATATAAGCTGACATTATTTTCAAGCAGTTTATGTTATTTTCATTTTTCACTTTAGCAAAAGATGATACATATTTGCACTATTCAGACATCTCTTTAAGCACCAACCAAATTTTTTTAGTCTTTTCCAAGTAATACACTATTACCAGTAGTTTTATAATCATTTCAATGTAATCTTCTTCAGATCTAAAATGTTGCATTTTTTCCCTCCCATCTATTTACTTCACACATTTCTCAAGTCACTTTGACGTCATATCTTGTCTACATACATAGACACTCTTGCTTTCTCTTCCTTCCTTTCTCTGTCTTCTCCCTTCCATTTCTAAATTCTTTACTTCTTGGGGTGGCTACAGCCACTAGAGGGCAATAAATTTACAAAGATAAATTGACTTACCTAAAATGAATTGAGATTCACACATTAATAAACCTAAAAATTACATCAACACAAAATCTAAAGCACAAGCAATTATAGCTGAATATCAGGGTATGCTAATCCTTAAAACTCAAAAATTCCCTTGAAAAAGGAGTTCAAAGAAAGCATGTATGTTCAAAAAAGAAATTCAATTCTCTCACTAAGCACTAACTAAAGAAACAAGAGTAGTTCATGTACAGATACACAGCAGTATTAGAAAACAGGAATTTTAAAATATTAGTGTCAGACCAGAAAAGAAAAGGGGGAGAAACATTAACATGGGAAAGCAGAATCTGCAGGGAGGGAAGAAAAGAATCAATTTTTTCCCATGCCTCTCCTGAGACAATGAGAAAAGAGTGAATTGATAAAAGAATGTAGATTTACCGAGCTTTTCTTTTATCGGAAGCATGGGCAAATTTCATAGGCTATGTTTTTGAAGGAGGAAAATAGAAAGAACTATGCCCTTTACTTTACTCCTCACAATTAAGGTTAGGAATATGGGAGGAAAACCTAATGGCAATGAATCTTTAAAAGATAATTTTGCTATTTTTTGCACAGAACCTAAATTCAAGTGAATTTATTTAATTTAAATTTACTTACATTCACATGACAAAACTGTAACACAACATCACACTTTTAGCAAGCTATCTTTTCTTACCCGCATTGGATGTATATCAGCATAGGGAGGTTTTCCTTCAGCCATTTCTATAGAAGTAATGCCAAGACTCCAGATGTCAGCCACACAGTTATAGCCTATTTCTTGAATTACCTCAGGAGCCATCCAAAACGGAGTTCCTATCACAGTATTGCGTTTTGCCATGGTATCCTGTAAAAACATAAATAGCTAGCATAAATATACTACAAAAAACTACAGAAACCTGTCAACAAGCTCTTTTAAACTTTGCTTAAAGTCACAAATACTTCAGAATATATCTGAAATTCACTAATTTCACAAAATTTCAACTAGCTATAATATGACATTTAGGAATTTTGAATTATGAAATAAAAGTTCGCAAGTTACTTTTTCAACTACCTTCATTAAAGATAATCATTATAGGCAGTACTAAAATAATAAAGGCTACAAAATGTAATCAGTATAGCTTTCCTTTTAGAACATTTAAGCATTTTGATAAAACATTCTCAGATTCGATCAGTGTCTCTTACATTTTAAATAAAAGTAATAAGTACTCTATGGCTCCATCTCCCTAAGAACAATAAAGTTACTTGATTATTCCCAAAAAAATAAAAACCAAAAGTGATTCCAAATTTAATATACTTACTGTTAACTGACCAGCCACTCCAAAATCTGCCAGTTTTGCATGTCCTTCTGTATTGAGGAGAATATTTCCAGCTTTTATATCTCTGTGTATTTTTCTCATAAAGTGTAAGTATTCCAGTCCTTTCAAAGTTGATTTCAGAATAGTTGCAATTTCATCTTCTGTTAGCTGAAAAGATAATTTTTGTTTTTATTGAGTTAATAATTGATTTACAAAGCTACACATGATTTGGAGGTACAGGATCATATGTTGCAAGTGTGTATTATCACATCCCAACATCTAGTCCTCTACCATATTTCATCAGGCCCCTTCTTTTCTTCCTCTCTAATAACCTCAATTCTACCGTCTTATTTCTAGGGTTTGGTACTATTTTGGTTTTATCTGACCCTTTGATTTGTTTATCTGTACTCCACATAGAAGTGGCACCATCCAATATATGTCTTGGAAAGAAATATTTTAAAGACTAGACTGAAATACCATGTTAGATAAACTATTCCAAACTCCTCCAAGAATCTAATAAGCACTTCATGCTAATGACTACTACAGATCTAGGAAAAGACTAACAGGTAAAGAGCAAAGAACTTTTTCCCCAACCCCAACAAATATGCTTTATCATACTTTACTTATGAAAGAAAATGTCATCAATTTTTTTCTTTAAAAATAGCAATGTCGGCCCTCCCTGGTGGCGCAGCGGGTTAAAGCACAGCACTGAGAAGCTAAAGCCACTTCAGCATGAGTTCGATTCCCACCTGCCCTGGAGGTGACCACATAGCATGGCAGACCTCTCCTGACCCGCCCGCTGCTCCCCTCAGCAGTGTACTTCCTCAATCTGCCTGTTCTGCTCCCCACTCTGTCTCTGGTGAAGCCTCTCACCGTCCCTGAGCCTCTGGCCTGCACAAATAAAAATAAATTTAAAAAAATAGCAATGTCATTAGTAATACACATCATGCCTCATATAACATGACCCTAATAAATCACAATTTCCACATCTAACACTAAAGTGGCAATAGCACCTGAAAAAATAAACACATAATTGGGCCTTCCCTGGTGGCACAGCTGGTTAAAGCACAGCAGTTAAAGCACAGCAGGTTAAAGCACAGCACTAAGAAGCTAAAGCCACTTCAGCATGAGTTCGATCCCCTGCCCCCGTGGTGATCCACATGGCAGGACAGACCTCTCCTGCTGCTTCCCTCAGCAGGGTACTTCACCAGTAGGCCTGTTCAGCTCCCCACTCTGTCTCTGATGAATCCTCTCACCACCCCTGCACCTCTGGCTTGTACCCCAGTTCTGTATGAATAAATAAATATTTTTCTTAAAAAAAGTAAACTCTTAATTGTGCTGACTCCAGCAGCTGATAAAAATTAAAACCAACAGTTTTACATAGAGGAAACAAAACAAGGATTGCTGTAAGAATCTTCTGCAAGAAGCACTTACAATAATACCACTGCTCCTGCTTTCTCCCAAGTGATTTCCACCAAAGCTCTGGGACATAGGGACCTGCTGACCCCTAACAACAAAAACTCAAAAATGAAAATACCAGAATAACAAAGAAGCTGGAAACACAAAGAAAGGCTGTCTGGGGAAGGAAAGAGGGGAAGAGTTAAGATAAAAAAGGCCAGGGAGGAGAGAAGAAAAAGAAGAATTCTAAGTAGATTTGCAGAGCTACTAAATATTTACATACAAAGAAATTAACTTAGATACCTATCTCAAACCATATATTGAGATTTACTCTAAACTGATCAACAACCTAAATATAAGTTAAAAACTAAAGAGACTGAAACATAACCTTGAATTTGGAAATTAATCTTTGAACATAGTCATACATTGCTTAACATTTCTGTCGATGCACAACACAATAGTGGTTCCCAATAGGGTATATGATATACCCTATGTGGGTAAAAGTCTATATGTAGCACTTAGGTTTGTTTAATTATACTCTAAGTGGTTCACACACAACAAAATCACCTAACAACACATTTCTCAGAACACATCTCCATTGTTAAGTGATGGGTGCCCATAACATTGAAGGCACAAGCAACAAGAGGAAAAATAGACTTCAAAATTAAAAACTTTTGTACGCTAAAGGTCATTATTAAGAAGGTAAAAAGACAACCCACACAGAATTGGAGAAAAGATATGTAAATCATATATCTAATAAAGGCCTAATAACCAGATT